ACACACACACACACACATCTGCGTTTTATAATAAGTAAGATTATAATTTTAAGTTTTAATTTTAAGTTTCGGAGCAGATTTTCGGGAAATGAGTGGCAGTTTGAAAAAAAAAATTGTTGATTTACATTCTTCAAGGAATTCTGCTTTTAACTGATTGTAATATACCGCACATATGAACATTAATGGGTATGTCCCAATGCTCATAAATACGTTGGATACTATTGAAAGTGGCGAGCAATATGGTGTCTAAGTAGTCGACCACTAGCAGTGGTTTACCTACTTCACGCCGCTGGCGAGTTTTGAATTTTTTTGATGTTATAAAAGATTACCATTTCCAACCTAAATTTCGGTTATTCCTCGTTCTGTATCCTTTTCTAGGTTAAAACGATGATTGACAACATGGAAGCCTGAATTTGTATACACGAATGCAATGGAAACATTTTTTTTTTGAAAAAAAAAAAAAAAAAGAAGACTGACGGCATTTTGTTATGGGGCATTCCCACTGTGATTTCTGTGTCCAGTTGAAATTTTTTTTGTGTCTATTAAGTTTAGAATTATTTTGGTAATTGTAATTAACTGGCAATTGTTTTTTGTTGTTGTTGTTGTTTTTTTCAGGCAAGAAACTGTAAACATCGAACTTTCAGTTACATCTAGCTATTTCAACTGTAAAATGAGGCAATCTTGCTGCCAAACTAGTACTGTGCTTACATTCACTAAGTTTAGGTATGAAAGAGGAAAGATTGGGTACTTTGCCATGGTGTAATGGTTAACAAACTTGTCACATTAGATCAATTATGACTAAAAAATGAGTTAGATCCTTACTGGGTGCTCCACACTTTCGGCCTTGTGCTACAGCTAAGCTATGCTTAGAAAATAATTTTGGCTATGACAGAATACTAAGTTTGCCTTTTACACTAAGCTACACGTAGAAAATCAACATAGAGGAAAGTTCATCAGAACAATAGCCATGGAAGTATTTATAGAAAAGACACAGGGAATTTCTTACGGTAGTGGAAAAGTGACTGAAGCCAAGATTTCAGGTTAGGACCCATAACATTTAAGAAGCGTGAGAGAAGAAACTGTTAGCATAAAACATATGTTAACATCTAGCCATTTCAACTGTAAAATGAGAAGACTTAGCTGCCAAACTGGTTTTTCACTTAAATTCATAAAGTCGAGATACCATATCACTTTTAACAAAAAGTTAAGTAAATTTCACTAGTTTTGATGATTGTTACATACCGTAGCTATGAACACTAATGGGTATGTCCCAATCCTCATAAATACGTTGGACACTATTGAAAGTGGAGGGTAATATGCTGTCTACGCTGGCAGTGAGAGGAACCCGGACGAGACTCTGCCGAAGGGTAGAGTCTCGTCCGGGTAGGTAACCAGACACCCGATCCCGTGTATGCAGGGTCTACGGGCAATTTTTGCTCGAGCCCACAGGCTCGGATTTCCCCACTTTAAATTTGGCCTTGTGCCACATCCTACCTCGTGGAGAGGCAGGTAAGTATCGTAATATGTTGTCTTAAGTAGTCCAGCGCTAGCAGTGGTTTACCTACTTCACGCCGCTGGCGAGTATGTTATTTTGTTGATGTTATAAAGATTACCATTTCATTTCCAACCTCCGTTTTGGTTATTCCTCATTCAGTAACCCTTTCTAGGTTACAACACTTATATAACAAAATATTCGGATCTAAATTTAATTCTTCGAACTTTCATAAAATTAAGCAGCCGTAAGATTTTCTAAAAACAAAATATTTTCAAAATAATTTAATTCATTTGTGAATAATTCGCAAAAATAGCATTAAATTTCACATACTAATCTTTGTCCCCCGCTGACGAAAGAAAACCCAAAAGTTTTGAATGTGCTAGAAAAGATTTTTAAAATTAATAAAATAATACTTTGGTCTTTCCTCTTAATAATAGATATCTGACGATAAAACTTTGATTTTTATCAAGGTTAGGACCTTTTTTCATCATGTTATGCTCTTTTATAGTGAAAAAGTGAAGGTACCTATTTAAAATTCACTAGAAAAAAAAATGGAAAATCTTTCTTCAATCTTTTATTTTAGTTAAAACTAGCAGCATGGCCCGGCGTTGCCCGTGCTTGATTCAAAAATCGTATGACACATACAGCAATCGCTATCACTTGACTTAAAATATTTTTGCCCTTCCTTGCCTTTAAAGGAGTGCCCTTTGCCGTGCTGATGTTGCTACATGCCTTACTTCTTGCCTATCTCACACTGCGACTTTTTTTTTCTAAGCTCTATACTAAACATTAAATCTGTTACGAAAAAAAGAACTAAACAAAATGAACAAAAAACGATCAGCTTTAAAAAAGGACTCGTAACTTTTTTTTTGAAATCGCTAAAATCGGCCATATTGACAAATCTGTCAACACATCTTTTTTATTAAAAAAAAATCTTTCGAAAATGAAACATAATTTTTTTAAACTTTATTTGACGAAGATTAACTGATTTGAAGCAAATTTTGCTAAATTTTTAGTCCAAAATTGAAGCAAACTTTGCTCATTTTTTAAGCAAATTTTGCTCATTTTTAGTCTAAAATATCGCAGAAAAACATTTTTTAACACGGAGGCGAGTGTTTTTATGAGGTGCTGATTGATTTATCAATGACTTACCATTTGGCATTTTTAAGTAAAGGAGCCATAACTGTATAAATTACTTAATGATTACAACGTGAACACCCTTCATATATATATATAGAAATATATATATATATATATATATACACATGAAATGGACAAAGTCCGATAATTATTTTAAGACATTTTTATGTTTATACATTCTTTTTATAGTTACAAATATTTAAGTAAATGTTCTGTTTTATAATAAACAGTATTAACAACATTAACCGGCCTGAATGTCTGAGAAATTTTCATAGAAAATATTCGTCTTCCGACAGGATTCGAACCTGTATCCTATACAGAGCCGTCATTTAGCTTGACGTGCCTTAACCGATTGGGTCACGGGGGAGCGTTTGGCTAGCAAGGTTGATTTTACTGTTTTTAAACACAATTCTACACGATTTTCTCTAATTCATTCATATCTGCTCATGGCGTATCCAAATGTAAAGAAATGACGTCATACATTATGAAATGGACAAAGTCCTGCAATTATTTAAGACATTGATTGAGTGAAGTTTAAATACAGTAAATTCGATCTTGCTAACCAAACGCTCCTTTGTGGCCAAACCGGTTAAAGGCACGTCAAGCTAAATGTATAGGATACAGGTTCGAATCCTGCTGTAGGACGAATATTTTCAGTATTTACATTTGTACACTCCGGACTCCTTCAGGTGGTTGGAATGTCGAACTGAACGCTTTATTTCGATCACTGGGGTAGACTGTTCTAGTTCCACGTGCCATGTTTTGATGGATGTCAGTTATCAGTTATCTCCTACTAATTTTCCCTCTGAAAGTTCTCCTTGACACATGGCACAGTGGATAAAGGCGTTGGTTAGATCCAGTGACAGACCCAAAGAGCGTGAGTTCAATACCCGGTTAAGGCAGTGGAGAAGAAGGCCGGAGCGTTCAACGGCCGAAACGGTGTGACAAATATGGCGACAAAGATGAGGACAATAGTCTGACTGATGTAAATACTGTACATAATACCTCATCTCAGAAATATAGACAGACGAATATTTTAAGTGAAAATTTCTCGGACATTCAGGCCATTGTTGTTTCATACTGTTTATTATAAAACAGGGCATTTAGTTAAATATTTGTGTCTATAAAAAGAATGTATAAACATAAAAATATATTTTTTAAAAATTTATATATATATATATATATTAACCTCCTAGCAATCTTTAAAAATTAGTAAAATATTCTAAGTAATCCAATATTTATTGAATTTTAAATACTTTGGTTTTTATAGTCTAACTTATGAAGACACTTACTGAGGGGTTTTTAGAAAATTACCAAATTATTTTAAATTTACTATAGTTACAACTCTTATTTTCTGATAATGTCATGTATGAATGCCCGTACTTAAAAAAAAAAACAAGACCTTTACACACACACACACACACACACACACACACACACACACACACACACACACAAATTCAATTTTTTTTTTTTTGAATACTGGAGGTCGCTGAATTGTAGTAGGCTTTTCCATTTATGATTAGAAAATATTGTTTTTGCTTAATAACTAACAATAACACCTAACTGCTATAAATTAATGCAGAATTTTAAAAGATTTCAAACTTTATAAATTATTATAATAAGCATTTTTTAAAGACGAAAACAATTCTTGTAAAAATTCGTTATTCAACGAAAAAAATTCTTAAGACAATAATGTCCATCATATATTTTATTCATAAAAGCAATTAAAAGCTTTTCTAATTAAATAATGTCTTAATCTTATTGCATTTGTTATTTTACAATTCAAAGCGGATTTTTGATAACTGGTGGCCCTGTTTTACAAAACATTTTGCAAATCGATTTTTTAAATTCTCCAAGGACTTGTTCTTATAACTAACATTAAGCTTTGCAAAAATTGATTTCGAGAATTTTCATAAAATTAAATAAATTTTGGTTTACAGATGTAAAAAATATCTTTACCAACATTGTCTAGAAAGGCGTTTCATTAAAAGTTTCATTAAAATCCGACTATTATCAGACTTTGGCAAGAATTTCCAAATCACTGTGGTATTTTTTTCACCGCAAAAAGAACTAAAATTTCACGTATTAATTAATAGTCAGCCATTGCCGCAAGAAAAAGAAAAATTTTAACCAATGATTTAATTAAAAAAAATCCGTAATAATATACAGATTTTGACGATGTCCTTATTAGGTTTGGGATATTTTTTCAACGTGTATGCTCAGTTTTTAGCGAATCTTTAGAGATGTTAGTGCGTTCCTGAGTTTGTATTCAAATGATTTTCCTAACTTCCATGTTTGTCGTTGTCGCATAATGTCTAGCAAGCTAGTCTAGCAGACTGAAATAGATATATTATAAAGTTAATTAGACTGATAGTAAGTGGCATAGATAGATAGATAGATAGATAGATATAAACAGACTGATATATATATATATATATATATATATATATATATAGAGAGAGAGAGAGAGAGAGAGAGAGAAGAGATGACTGGGATAGATAAATAACGAGATAGATAGATAGATAGATAGATAGATAGATAGATAGATAGATAGATCTGAACAGACTGAGATAGATAGATAGATAGATAGATAGATAGATAGATAGATAGATAATGAACAGACAAACATAGATAGACAGAAATAGACTGAGACAGACAGATAGAAAAATAAATGGATAGATAGATAAATGGATAGAACAGACTGATAGAGAGAGCGAGAGAGAGAGAGAGAGAGATACAAATCGACTGAGATAGATAAATAACAAGATAGATAGATAGATAGATAGATAGATAGATAGATAGATACGAACAGCCAGAGATAGATAATGAACAAGCCGAGATAGATATTTTCTGACATACTATCAATCAATTCTATTGTTTCTTTGTTTTTGTAGAAAATGACAGAAAATCACTCGAATTCATTAATCAAGTTCCAAACGCTTTTTCTAAGAACGCCAAAGCCTCTTTTGTGTTTCAAACACAATGTAAATAAAATATAACAATTAAAAAAAATAAATAAATGAACGAAAATATATTTATCTGATGTTGAAATGGAGTTTTGTGACTGATTGTGTCGAAAGTATTTTTTTAATTCTTTTTTTTTTTTTCTTAGCGTTTTTTTTGTTTTGTCATCCAATAAATCCATTCAGTTTTGGATATAAAAGCTGCACCTTCCTTTTTTTTATTTTTATTTAATTTAGTTTTATTATTTATTCGTTTATTTATAATTCCAGGAAAGATCCGCCATGTTGTGCGTAAGCTGAACACTAAATCATTAGTAAAGTGAGAGAGAAAACGTTTTTGTTTGTTTGTTTGTTTTTTTTCGTTGTTTTTTGTTTTAAGTTATAAATGCTGAAGATAAACCTCGGAAAGTAATGTCGTATCGTTTCAGCACATCAACATAAAAAAAAACAAAAACAAAAAACAAAAAAATATCTTAAGCGATTGTCGAAAAACTGTTTGACCATATAAAAAGGCCTCTACAACCTTTTTTTTTTTTTATAAACATCAATTTTCGGGCAAAAAGTGGATCACAGAGTTTATTCAGCCTAATAAATATTTTCAGAAAACCTCAACGTCTGATTGGTCACTTAATATTTAAATCATGCCCGAACATTAATATTAATTTTCGTACAAAAAGTGGATCACAGAGTTTATTCAGCCTAATAAATATTTTCAGAAAACCTCAACGTCTGATTGGTCACTTAATATTTAAATCATGCCCAAATATCAATATCAATTTTCGTACAAAAAGTGGATCACAGAGTTTATTCAGCCTAATATATATTTTCAGAAAACCTCAACGTCTGATTGGTCACTTAATATTTAAATCATGCCCGAATATCAATATCAATTTTCGTACAATAAGTGAACCACATAGCTTATTCAGCCTAATAAATATTTTCAGAAACCCTCAACTTCTGATTGGTCACTTAATATTTAAATCATGCCCAAATATCAATATCAATTTTCGTACAAAAAGAGGATCACAGAGCTTATTCAGCTTAATATATATTTTCAGAAAATCTTAACTTCTAATTGGTCACTTAATATTTAATAACATCGATCTAGTTCTTGACTTGACCCAAAAAATAATTCCGCCAAAATCTATCAAGCTTCTGTGAGCCTATCGCGTGACTAAAGTTAGCCATAAAATATGAAACGTTTTTCATGTTCGACAGTGCGCCGATCCTTTGAACTCGTCACACAGTTCCAGGATTTATGTTAAAGTTCCTTAACATGATTCCAGCCTGAAAGAACACTCATTCACACCGTAATATTTTATGACGAACAATCAACTCAAGTTTTCCACATTCAACTTAATACACGAATCTTTTTCATACGCTTTCAAGCTCAACGTTAATTATCGCAATTAACTTAAACACAGCTTAAGAACCATTTATTTCAACTACAGAAAATTTTCTTCAAACCAGTGAAAGCAAATCAAAGAGCAACAATTCCATAGACCTAAGTCGTAAACAATATTTTAGATATTAAAGAAACCTACCTTTTTGAATGTTAACGACCGAAAAAAATCGAACTTTTTCCTGGTCTTTCGTCAGCTATTACCGGCTTATTGATAAGTAATTCACTGCTGAATTTTGTTGGTGGACGTATACAATTTGGGCCTATTTACTTCCTTCACAGTAATTCCTTGTAGTTAACTTTCAAATTAGAGTTAGGTGTTCTTTTTTTGGTTATTCTTTTATTTTTTTTTTAAGAAGAAAGTTAACTTTCAAATTAGGGTTAGGTGCTTTTCTTGTTTTTTTTCTTGTTTTTTTTTTTGGTTATTCTTTTATTTGTCGATGTTTACATATATTTGAAAGTTAATTTTATTCTTAAATTAAGTACAAAAAAAAAATCCCTTTACAGAAACGCGTACTAATTTCTGAAAGAAAATAGTTCAGCAGTAAATGACGCTCGGGTGTTAAAATGAAAATTTACCGTATAATAATCTACAGGGCCGGTCCTTACTACCCAAACCTTTGAAATGCGTGCGGGCCTTATACCTACTGAGCAGGGGGGCATGCAGAAGTGCTAATTTCAGTAGCGATTATTTTCTAAATTGTAATTTTCTTTATGAACTAAATCGATTAAGCAATATTTTATAACGAACAATCAACTCAAGTTTTCTACATTCAACTTAATACACGAATCTTTTTCATACACTTTCAAGCTCAACGTTAATTATCGCAATTAACAGAAACACAGCTTGTTAAGAACCACTTACTCCAACTACAGAATATTCTCTTCGAACCAGTGAAAGCAAATCAAAGAGCAACAATTCCATAGACCTAAATAGTAAACAATATTTCTCTACTTTAAGTACAAACTTGAACTGTTTATTTTTTTCTTGAATTACAGTGTAACCCGGATATAAGAGAGTTGTCAAGACCAGAGAAGAAGTCTCTTATATCCGTGTCTCTGTTATATCAGGGTCTCTTATATCCGGGTTACACTGTACTATAATGCCAAAACACATTTTCTCATTATTATACAGACTATTCAACAACTTATAATCTATCAAACCGGAACTTTGACAACATTTCAATCCCAACATAAAAGGACGTTTGAACTTTTTAAAACCTCTTCTTTACTCCAGTTGTTTTTGTATCTCTTGTTTATATAAATATTTTATTCATTGTTGTGCAAAAAACTGTTGTTTCTCATTGTTGTGGGACTCTCCCCCTTTTACATAAGATGGACACGTCCAAAGTACACTTATACTGACAGAGAGAATACCTGCAGTTGTGATACGTGGAGATACGTGGAGATACGTGGAGATACGTTGGGATACGTGGAGACAGGTTGAGAGATACGGAGACAGACACAGGGTGTTCTCAGAGAGTTATACAAGAGTCCAGAGAGAGAGAGAGAGAGAGAGAGAGAGAGAGAGAGAGATTACGGCTTTACTTACAGAGACTTGTACATATACTTCCTACTAACCCGCATTCCTGGACTACTAATCTTCACTTCAAGTCTGTATTCTTACGTTTAATACACTTATTTTTCTATCTCAATTACTGGCGTTGTTTATTTATTTGTGCAGGATTCCATTCCCGGAATCCACAACACTCATGTTGTCCTTATTCTATGTTTGTTGAATACTAAAATTTAAAGTGAGAGGAAATTGTTAATTTCAACACGCAGCCTAATTTACTCAACAATTTTTCATTAATATAATTTAATCCATTAACACAACCTCCACTGTAGCACCTGTTAGGGTCCCTGCTATGGTAAATAGTGAAACCTTAAACAAAACAAAACACTATTCAAGTATAAAAAATACATTTTTCTAGTTAAAAAAAAATGCCAATATGTATTTACAGTGAAATTACTAACAAAAGCCGTTCATACGACAGGATGGACCGAAAATCTTGTCACCCATACATAATATTATTTTCAGATGGTTGACACAGAAACCTTACAGTTTGGAAGCGAGGCTGCATGCAAGTGGATGGACGCATGGTCGTGTGCATTCTGGCAAGAGCATGGAGGATGTGCGCCATGAATTCAGTGCAAGATTCGGCAAACCAGCTCCTCCGAAGAGGACGATACTGCGCCGGGAACACAGACTGTTTTCACGCAGGATCTGTCAAGGACAAAACGAGGAGAGGACGACCCTCGACGCGATGGGACACATGTGCCGGGGTGGAAGCATCTGCGCTACGATCCCCCACCCAAGATGTCACTGCGAAAACGGTCTTCCGAGCTAGCAATTCCCCAAAACCCAGAATGTTAACACACATGACAAAAGGATCTTGATCTGAAATCGTTTAAGCTGCCATTCGCCAATGAACTAAGCGATAACGACGTGGACAATCTAGATTTCGGCATTAGATAACCCATGATATGCTCAACAAACAAAACCAACCGACCAAATAACATGAAGGAACTCTTTCATGATATTAAGGCATGTAATATCCTACAATTTCTTAAACAAATCAAACTGTATTCCAAAATATGACTTCAACAAAACTACAACATAAAACACACATATCACCGCCTCTCGTAACTACGTCCAAGCAAAGCTGTATATGCACAAAAGCTGAGTATCATCTACCATCTATTCAACTGTGAAAGCAAACTAACATTCTAGCATCAAAAATAATTAAAACAAAATAATTATAACAATTATAATTATCACCAATTCACTCTTTCTAAACCATTGAGAATCGATCCCACTTTTCTCCTCTACGCAAACAAACACGTGAACATTCTCAATATTGGACAGGCAGTCAACACAAACAGAACCTCAACACGTGCGTCAGCGAAAACTTCGGCTCCTTTTCCTTTTTCAGTCCATTATAGTCACATTTATCTCTTAGCAATCAACAACAATTCGAGGTAAGTAAACCCCAGCCACTTCTTGTATTTTCTAACTAAATTATCTGGACGCTTATTACACACATCTATAAAAAGAATACGAGAAAGACTGTATATATTTTAGTTATTCGTTATCTTATCCTTGTTTCGGATTTCGATTCATGTTTGATCTCCATTTGACCCCAAACTCACAATTTTACTCAGTATTACTGTCTCTCGTTTCTCCAACAAAGTATGACAACCAGATAATTAGTAATACTAGTTTTGTTGTTTCTACGTCTCGCTGTTTCTCATTTTCATAATTATTTTTGTATATAAAAATGTTAGGGGGGTATAATTATTTATTCACAGTTATAAACCCCATACAACATATATCATATTTTGATTACTTCAAAGCTCCCAAGATTAATTAAATTTTGCCATTAAAAGATCCATAAAGAATTGATGTGTCGTTAAACGAACAAATCAATCATATTTCAATCCACATTGTTGTAAAGAACCCATTTCTCATGGTCTGTATTCGTTCTTTTA